TGCTCACTGTCCCCGCGAGCCCAGATCCGGCCGGTGGAGGCGACGGCCAGCACTAGCCCGGGGCCCGGGCGCGGGAGGCGGAGGCCAGAGGAGGCGGCCCGAGCGGCCAGGCGTGCGAGCCCTGCTCACCGGTGCGGGTAAGTGCGGGTCTCTGGCTCTGCGTCCGCCTAGCTGATGGTCCCACACACACGGCGGGTCTTGCGCATCGTGCTGCTCCGCCGCAGGCTCACAGGTGGCCCCGCAGCGGATGTGGCGCCCCAGGCCCAGCTCCTAGTTAGCCAACTCTCTCCGCTCTGGGGCGCGGGTTGCCAGCCCCTACGTGGCCCACTCGGACTAGTCCCGGAGCAAGGGCACCGGCAAGAGCCTGACTTAGGAAGGGATGCGCAAAGACGCCCCCCCCCCCCCCTCCCCACTGCTTTGGGGGGGGGGGGGGGCAGTGGAGCAAGCATCACCCCGAAAGCATCTCAGCTTTCGGCTTGCAGGTGGGGTCCAGCTACCTTTTCGTTTTATTTTCTTATTGACCCTCCATGGAAAAAGTTTAAGATCATTCAAGGCAAAGTTGGGGCGCAGCTGGGGGGCACATCCCAGACAGCAGAGCAATGGATTTACAGAGCTCACCCTAGAGCTGATCTTACGCCCTAGGAGTCCAACCCTGCTGCCAGCCCTGACCCGGCACTGTGACAATCCCTAGAGCGCTGCGAGTCGCTTAATCACGGGTGCTAAGCATAGACATCTGCAGCCTGCCCGGGCATCCGATGGGCTAGGGTTATCTGAGGAGCAGTGGCAACTCAACCTGCGTTGACTGCTGGTCTCCTCTGCTCCAGCTAATCCCACTGTGTAAGTGGCGTGTGTTTAATTAGCTTATTTTACACCTGAAGTGATCTCGGCGAATGCTCCGAAAATAAAATCATTGGCACCAAAAAAAAAAAAGAAAACAAAAACAGGAAATTTAAAGGCTTGTTTAGAAAGAGAATCTTGACTGTAGGAGCAGGCGTGTGGGGTACTCTACCCACCTCTTCCGTGGACTAACGAATCAAAACTCTGCTCTGCATATCTGGGCATAAAGGATAGGTGTTGGGGTTACTGGGGGAGGGTTTTATGGACAGAGGTGTTGCTGCAACTTGCATGTTGTTTACGAAATGCATACTTGGTCTCTCAAGATAGCCTCCTGGTCATGTCCCTGCGCTGAGCTTTATTTAAGCCATGGAGAATAAGGCTAAAGGGTTCTGGTTGTTGCTGTTCCGAAGCTCCAACTGAAAACAGTATTTGTATGCTTTAAGAAAACAGCTTGTTCATGTCGACAGGACATTTCTTGCTTTTTCTTTTCTTTTCTTTCTTTCTTTTTTTTATAAACTTAAATATTTAAAGAGCAGGTTTTCTGTATCTGTATGAGAGGCAATCATGAAGAATATTATCCTGGGATTACTATGTGAACAGGAAAGCAGTTTTGCCTCCTCCCCAAACCACCCCTTCCAAATGACAGGTTCAATCAGAAAATGCACCGAATTACATAATTGTTCTAGAAGAAAACATAATGGATAATGGTCAGTCGTCAAGAACTTAGTTCTGAAAGAAGTGGGGCCATTTTAACACTGAGAAAATGTTGCATGGCTTCAAATGGATGAATTGACTTTCACCTATAAATTTTTTATACTCACGCACATCTCAGCTGTCTAACCCTGGCATCAGATGTGTTGAAAATATTTACTTGGCTTATACATGTGTGATTATGAGTCCATTCTAGATACCATTTCTTCAAGTGCTGTTTTTGTTCTAGTTATCTTAAAAAAATTTGTGAGGTTGGAGTGTCTGAGGCTCTGAATGCAATCCTCAGGGCCCTCCCCCTAACACATGTATGCACACACACATACACACATATGTGAAATTCTGGTTGGTAAGGATTTAATTGTCTATAATTATCCAATAAATATCTATATCAGTGCATTTATGTGTGTGCATGTGTACGTGTGTGTGTGCGTGTGTGCGTGTGTATGTAGCTAGGGATCAAACCCACATCCCACACATGCTAAGTAAATACTTCACCCTAGTTCTGCTCCCCATTTTTAAAATAAGGAAACCCAGTGCTGGAGATGGCTTAGAAGCTAAAAGCACATACTACTTTTGCAAAGAACCTGAGTTTGGTTCACAACACCCATGTTGGATAAATCACAACTGCTTGTTCCTCCAATTCCAGGAGATCCTAGGGCCTCTTCTGGACTCCTGGGGACCCTTGCACTCACATGTGCACATACTCACACACAGACACACATCACTAAAATTAAAAGAAATCTTTTACAGATAAGTAACTCACCTGTGAACACATACTATAGGACAAGACTTTTTTGTATTTGCAATTATTTTTAAAGAAAGATAAGATTTTGGTGGACCTGCTTACCTTTGTTGTTGTTTTTATTTAAGCATAGCTGGTGAAGTCTTTCTGTGAAGAATAAGGATACCTGATTGTAAAAGTGCCCCACACGCACCATCAACTAGGAAGCAAGGAGCAGTATGACAGAACCATCTAGCCGAGTCTGAAGTGTGAAGACCACCATATCCACCAGAAGACCCAGGATGGATGTGCACCAAAGTACCACAGTCAGGCTGCTGGAGAAACGGTGGTCCAGTGAGCCACCATCTGGCTGCCGGAGACATTATAATGCCAGAAAAAAACTGAAGCTAATTCGGGTCATTGGCCTTGTCATGGGCCTGGTAGCTATGAGCACTGTCCCATTCTCAATCAGTGCCTTTACTGAGACAGACACTCAGAGCAACACAGGAGAAGCCAGTGATGTGAGTGGCCCTAGGGGAGCCCAGGGCCACCGTCAAAGAACTCTCTTAGATTTCAATGACAAGTTTCTAGATGATGCCACACAGCCACCCGCTTCTCAGGAAAGCAAAGCTGAGAACGGCACCGACCATGCCCAGGGAGACTACCCAAAGGACATCTTCTCCCTAGAGGAGCGTAGGAAAGGCGCCATCATCCTCCACGTCATTGGGATGATCTACATGTTCATAGCCTTAGCCATCGTCTGTGATGAGTTCTTCGTTCCTTCCTTGACTGTCATCACTGAGAAACTGGGCATCTCTGATGACGTGGCCGGAGCCACCTTCATGGCTGCAGGCGGGTCAGCCCCTGAACTTTTCACGTCTCTTATAGGGGTCTTCATTGCCCACAGCAACGTTGGCATAGGCACCATTGTGGGCTCGGCCGTGTTCAATATCCTCTTCGTTATTGGCATGTGTGCTCTGTTTTCTAGAGAAATCTTAAACCTGACATGGTGGCCGCTCTTTCGGGATGTGTCCTTCTACATCGTCGACTTGATCATGTTGATCATATTTTTCCTGGATAACGTCATCATGTGGTGGGAAAGCTTGCTCCTCTTGACAGCTTATTTTGGCTATGTGGTTTTCATGAAGTTCAACGTCCAAGTAGAAGGATGGGTGAAGCAAATGATAAGTCGCAATAAAGTTGTCAAGGTGACAGCCCCGGAAGCCCAAGCAAAGGTCAGTGGAAGTAGCCTTGATTTAAGGGCTTTCTTAGCTATCACTCTGAATGCAGATGTCTCGGCAGTTGGCAGCTTGCTTTTGTTTTTGTGTTTGTTTGGTTTGGTTTGTTTTTTACTATACTGATCTTTGGGCTATCAATGGTAACAGATTGCATCCTGCAGTTTCGTGAAAGCCAATGAAAATGACAGCAGAAAATTTACATTTGGGGGACGTTGTTCTACAAGTCTACCAAGTTTCCACGCTATTGTAGCATTAAAAAGGACAGTGTAAATACAGGCTATGTAAGCATCCCAAGGCAGACTCGGCATTGACTCGTTTTTAGGACAATGGACCCAGTGATTTTGTGAGCAACTTCATTTTTATAGGCAGGTTCTTAGCAAGTGACAGGGTTTTGTTTTTGAGGATAGCATATGATGGAAGATCAAGAGCCATCTCTTTAAAGATATTTAGGGGAGAAAGTTCGTTCTAGAAGAGCTGTGCCCTCCAGCAGCAGCTTGGGCTCAACAGCAGGCTGGCTTCATTACAATGGCTATAACTATGTGTCCTTTTCTCTTTAACTCAGTCTTATTTCATGGTGCTGGGACTGAGCCCAGTGTCTCTCACGTTACTAGAAAAGCACCCTGAGACCGAGTGACACCCAGACCTATGCCTACTTTTCTTGATCCGAGTGCTCTTCATTGAAATGGATTGGAAGCATCTGTAGAGGAAGTCACTGGCCAGCCCTGGCACCCGCCTCTGTGCTGCAGTAGCCCATTTGGCACACATAATAAACATGACCCAACATACTTTCGCAGGAGAACCTGAGGGAATGTTGCTTAACGAGGAAGGATATCTGTAAAAAGCTTAAAAGTAAATGACCTCAAAAAATATAAGTCTGAAAGAAAAACAATAGAGGAACAGCATCAGTGAATTTTTATGTAGTTTCATAATTATGCAGCATTCTGATTTATATCCTAAATATAAAAATGCCACCTTCAGATGTGGTTTTAAACAGAAAACCCAAGTTCATAACAGAAACTTTGCATGTTTGCATATGGGAAAATTTTCACACATATAAATCAAATGCTTGAGTAGCGGTAGGAGATGCAATCATAACGAGAAGAAAAATGATACTGTCTTAGCTAAATTTGCATTATTCCTTAATAGACTAGGTTGATGATCAGCGTTTTCATAGTAACCATAGAGTAAAAGCAGAGTGAAAAAAGTCACTAGTAATACCTAGACAGTAGGCAGAGTACACGTTAAAACATGCAGAGAGAAATATTTTAATCATTTTTCTCATGTACCGATATGTGTCAGTGGGTACACAGGCTATACCGTGTGTGTCAGTCAGAGGACATCTTTGTGAACTTTGTTTCTTCTTTCATCTGTATTTGGGTTCAGGGAATCAATTTCTGGTTACCAGGTTTTTGTCACAAATACCTTAACCTGTTGAGATCTCTCTCTGGTCCAGGACACATTTACACTGGATAAATCTTCTAACATTTACTTCCCTGTGTGCTCGTTGAGAACTATGGTTAATAAAGTTGCTTTGCACAATATATAGCAAGCGTGTGTTCGCTTGTGACAGCTGAGGACATGCCCTTCAAGGCATTGGACAAGGACATTTTATTTATGCTCTGTGCTCTACCTTAAGAACAAAAAGGATGTCGCCCAGCCTCTCTTTAAGCATGTTTGAGTGATCTGCTTAGCACTCTGTGGTCTGTTTGTTTCAATCAGCAGATCTCAGGAAAAGCCATATTTTTGAGAAGCAGGGAAGTGATGTGACACCCTAGAAATACCCCGGGCACATGAACAGTAAAAAGTTTTTTGAGGAACTATACTGTGGGATTCTTTTTAAGCTACAGTGGACCTTCTTTACTTAGATATATACTTGCTTGAAAATTGTGTTGGTCACATTTGCCAATGATGTCAGAACTCAGAGTTTGTGTTCTGATTTTAGTCAGGTTCGGAAGACAGCTGGCTTTGTACACGTGGGAAATAACTTTTTAAACTCAAGCCACAGAGCGCACTCAGTCAATTATAATCTGTTCACCACAGTAGAGCTAGCAGAGTTTTTACCCCCATACTTAGATGATTGACATGTCACGTCTCTGATCATATACATGTCAGCAATTCAGACTGACATTTCTTACTTGATGTTTTTCATATCCATAATTTTATTCTTAATTCTGTGTTCTTTTCAAATTGGAAATTCTGTGTATAGCTTAATTTTATCCTAAAGATATTGGTTATAACTGTAAATATTTCCACATGTGTCAATTCGCTTATCCTTTCGTGCCTCACATTTTTAATTTCCTCTATTCAATCATCATCATTTCTTTTGGCATTTGATAACTAATTAGAGCAGATGGTCGGTTTGTTTTTGGTTTTGTTGTTGTTGTTGTTGTTGTTGTTGTTTCCTTAACAGAGTTGTGTCTTGCTTGAGCACAGTCGTACATTTTCAAGAGGAATGGTTTCTAAGAGCCCGATTCCCTTCAGGAAACTGCACCTAGTCAGTTTCTCTTTGGAATTACTGCTGGAACTTTGCAGGAACTGCAGCCCTTATCACCTTCCAGGGTTCAGAGTCTTGTAGAGGTTGCTCCCCAGCTCTGAGCACAGCTGCCTCAGGATGGCTGCTTCGAGTATAACCATTTGCCCTCTGGCGTGCTGAGCTCACTTTGACCCAAATAGCTCTTCTCCCCTACCGATGTCAGTGTTCTGTTGTTTTCTGGACACTTAGAAAGAGAGTCCCTACACCGCCTGTAGCTCACTGGCATCTCCATAAGAAGAAGTCTGCTATAAAGGTATCTAGAGAGTAAATACCAGCACGTTTTCTCGTAAGCTCACTTTGCTGCCTTGGTTTTGCAATTACGGGGCAGGAGGGTTTGAGAGTGTGGAGAAAAGACAATTTAGGTAACCTCACACAGATTGTCAGATGGTCCTTGCCCGTCAGGTCCTCTGGGCTCAACACAGTGAAATAGCTTTCAAATAAATGACTCCCTTCAATAAGGAAGGTGGAAATCTTCATTGGGTTCCATGATGGACGATCTGATCTGTGCCAGGAAGCAATGGGCTGTGAACATGGAGAAACTGGAAATTCCTTTCCTAATGTGTTGCTGCCCCATGTGTACTTTTCAGGTTTTGCTTTTAATTTGTTTGGTTTAAAACTTCCTTTGGTGATACTGCTACCGCCTTGAAAAAGCTGCGTAGTGTCATGACACGATACAGAGGCCCCGACAGGAAAAACTTTGCTCTGTTATTTTTAATTAGTTCTTTGAGAGTTTCACACAGTAAAATTTGATCATATTTATCCCCTCCCATTTCTCTCAGTTTTGACCCCTCTTCATTACCTACCCAACTTTGTCTCCCTGTTTTTTAATCCTTAGAGACCAATTTGTGCTGCTCAATATTCTTGGAAGGGTGGTCTTCCACTGAAAGGGATAGAGTACGTATGTTTCCTTCAGGGCCAAGCATTCTTCAGTCTCTTGTGCTCCACACCATGGCCAGCTGCAGGTCTCTGTGTTAATTGCCATCTATTGCAAATTGAAGCTTCTCCAGCGAGGACTGAGAGATGTACTGGTCTGTATGTATAACAGTGAGTCATTAAGGATTGGTTTAATAGTCTATCCATTTATGAAAATCATAGTAGTAAGTACTCGGACTCTTTCATTTACCTGGCCACAGGCTTTTGGCTGAATAGTGGTACCGGGTATAGGTTTCATCTTGGGGAGAGAGAATAAAATCCAACAAAAAAGGGGGCTTGGTTACTCCCATGATATTGGTGCCATTATCACACCAGGCCAGTCATTATTGCAGCTTACGGGGTTCACAGCTGAGTCTAATTGCTGATTTGTTGTCTCCTCTAGTAGCCTGCCTAGTGATTTTCAGAACTATGAGAACTAGCTAGCAGAGACGAAGTTTCCAGACCAGGAGCAGTTTGATTTCTCTGTCTTCTGTGACTCAAGCATATGGCGTCTCGTCTTCAGAAATAGGATCTTACGGTCAAGCTGGGGTGGATAGCCAAGAGCATAAGAAAAGGCATGCAATGTTTGGGGGTCTATGAGACCTCTCTGGCTAGTGACGCCAAAGAAATAACCCATTCCTGGTGCTGGGCTTTCTTCTGATTGATAGCCTGTGGTGTCTAGTGGAGGTGTTGTGTCCCTGCTATGGGACTCCATCTTCTCTCTCAATGTTTATGTATTTATAATAGGAAGCTTCCATGGCAGTAGGTTTCTGGGTGACTTTTTGGAAAGATTTTTAGTGTTATTTATCCATCTCTGTACTTCCTCCTCTACCCTGTTCACTGTTCTTCCTACCCAAGTTTAACCCTTCTTGTTCCATTACTCCCTTCTAACCCTCTATACTGATACATTCTATCTCCCCTCCCATGAAACCTGTCCCACAAGTACCCTGAGTACCCCGACTTCCCTGGGTATCAGGAAAGAATTTAAAACCCTATCTATGCAGCAAGCATCTAGCATCGTCCTTGGCATATGTGGCAAATGTGGCTTGTTCGGTATATGTTGGGTCCCTTCTTTTGCTGTTCCATTCTTAAATGGAACGTGAATCAGAATGAGCGATTCCAGGTTTGATTTACAAAAGCATTCCTTGAAGGTCGAATTCACTTTAGTGGCTCACTGGGCAAACAGGCTGCTGTGCCTCTCAGGGGGATGGATTTACCATGTCATGATGCTCATAAATCTAGCTGGTGGACCATGAATATCTGTGGTTTCCATGTTAGCACAAACTCCAAGGAAACCACGTCTTTTTTCCTGAAGTTTTATTGCCTAGAATTTTCCTTGAAATCAGGAGACCATTTGGAAGTGCAACTTCTTTTTAAGGCATTTTTGGCTATAATGACTGGGACCCTTTTCTTCCGGCCCCTTCCTAGCTGGTTAGTCAGACATTTGGATGGTACAAACTGCAGTGCTGTCTCTTTTCGGGACATGCAGACATCTTGGGAAGCATCCGATTTGGCCGCTGAGATCTGGTTTTGATGTGTCACTGTACTAGGC